GTATAAAGCTACCTTCAAATGATAGTTCTTGAAACGATCGTTCCAAATCATCCATAATTTTGATCGCAGGTTCAATTCTTCTTCAAAATATATCTACATATTGTAGTCTTCACTCTTCACGCATTTCTCACTTTTTGCAAAAATGGGAGCCGGAAATCTGCATATTCTGCCAGGCGCTTCGTTCTCCCGTCGCGTCCTCCCCAAGCACCCCTGCGCGCTCGCACATCTCAGCCACAGATCTCTATATTACGCTGAATGCAACCTTTATGTTTTCCAATAAAGCGCCTGGGTACGAGGCTGCAGATTTTCTATCACTCGAATTTGATACGATGCGCGTGCGCGGCGGCCATGCTGTATCAGATTTCTGGCCATTGAACCAAACGTTAGGTAATTTGCGCATTTTATGCAAGTGTAACTTAAATCGGTCTTGCAATTACACGCACGCATGCAGCATCAACAAATTAGAAAATAGAGAAAATAGATTGTTAAAACAACTAATTTGAACTTGCATACATTTTTATATAGATTCATTAAATTTTAGATTTGTACTGTTTTACAGTATACTAATTATAACGTAATAACGTTAAATAGAACATGTACACTCTAATGCTTATGGAATTTTTGTAGACTACATGACAAGGAGAGTTGATGTTTGATCAAGATAACTTTGGTTCAGTCGAACATCGTTAAATCGAAAATTGGTCCAAAGAGGTTTGAGTAATTTAATTGGGTGGTCACAAAACTGAGATAACATAAATAGGTGTATCTGCACTCAAAAACGTAAAATTTTTCTTATTGTATGCAAATTCGCGAGTATAATTTGTGTGTAGTCAGTGTAGATGCAACCTTATTAATTGCTAAGCTGAGACAGGTAGGACAAGCAAATAAGATTTTTCCAGACATGAGAGTCAATAGATGTATGTTACATTGATGCATCAACACTTGATGTTTCTGGAGAAGTCTTGCTTGGGTTATCGTAGGAAGGGGGCACAAATGGTGTCACAATTAGATGTCTCGAAGATGATGTGGATTGATTTTCTTTACAATTGTGAGTATAAACTCCCCTGTGCGTGCGTTTGGAATTGTCGTTTCTATATGGGCGACTGCACTGCTATATGCTCTGCAGAAAAATTGTGCGCATTTTGACACTTTAGAATCGCAGTTCTATATGGGCAGCATGCTATTCCTATATCCTTTAGTTAAAAAATTGTGCACCTTTGCGCCGGGATGGAGTATTAAGTTGCTTTACAGGGCGGAAATCTCGACTTTCGGATTAAGGAACGCGGTCCTTCCTATATCGACCTAACAAAAACTTCTTTTTCATACAGCCGGGGTATATATGTGTAGCGCAGATAGCGTATGCAAATAACATGTTATAGCTCTTCTACTGTTAATGTTTGGGCAGATGCTCTAAAGTATTGAAGGAAATAGAGTATTTCCTTAATCCTGATGAAATATTTAGAGATATTTTGTGACCACCAAAAATTTTTAGTTAAATATGAATTGACAGGGAGCCCATTTTTTCTGACAGAGGTCAAATGTTTTCAATAACAGCTAAATATTGCATCAATTTTAAGTACGGATTACAATAATCTGATTATACAGCATAAGACTATTGGATTTTAGTTACGCCCGGGAATGCAAATGCGAAATGAAAGTTGTCCGCCATTATGTCGTGGAGGTTGGGCGTTTTGTAAGTTATGCGCATGCGTGAGTTTAAGACGAGTTAAAACTGGTAACTAGCAAACGTTTGCAAGTGTGCGATTGGCTGAATTAAAATTTTGGTCACGTCAACATAACTGACATTTTGAAATATAAAAAACTATTTTTATTTCGATGATCTTGAAAATATACGAAAAATTCAGTCGTAAAATTGATTAAAATATAATGTGAAAGATGCTTTGTTGACCCCAAACTGATGTTCCCGACAAATCACAAAGTCTCAAACAACAATATTTAGTAAAGAAAATGTATTAAATTCACTAAGTCTTCGTCCGCACTTCTCGCGTGTCACACCCTCACTAACTCAATTTAAACCCCTTCCCTTAATTAATGTGATATATGATATTGTGCAGTTTGTGCATTGTTAAGTGCCTGCCCTAAAGGTATTTTTAGTGCTTATCTGTTGGTCAGTTCCCGACAAGATGCTTTCGGATAGAAAAACTTTGATTCAAAGGGATGGTAAAAAATCTACGATTTTGAAGCATTTTTAGAGTGTTTTTGAACAGGTAAATGGTTAGATTTTGTATTTTAAAACACTTACAAGTATTTTGTAAGTTTAATTTGTGGATTTATCAACAAACGTATTGACACCTCTTAAATTTATTTGTCAATTTCGTTAAAATTATTTTGATTGGGAAAACATTTATTTTTAAAGGTGAATGTGTTTAAGAAATTGAAATTTCGCTAAAAATTGTAGTAGAATATTTAAAACTATTCGCAGCACAATTAATGAATTATGCTAACAGTATAGTTGAATTTGATAGCTCGAGAGTCGACTTTATATAGTATACTTTATTGTACTTCATATAGTCATTTACTTATACGAATTTAAATTATGGAAATATATGTTTATCCCTTCAGGCGAGGGGTTGCTGCATGCATGTATTTCTAGTATGACTGTGTAGTCGTGTGCTCTCAAAATGAAAGCATGTATAACTACAGTCTAAAAAGCGATATGGCCGATATAGCTATATGGCAGAAAAATGGCGAATTTGTATATATCATATCACTTTTTCACAGTATAGCGAATACTATAATGTTTATACCTATACTATAACGCATTAGTTAGTTGTTTTTGCCAACATGGATCGTGAAATGCATAGTTTTATTATATATACATCTCAGATACGATGCTTAGTTAGAGTTTTAATGTATTTATCACACTTCACACATATTTCTTTACTTATAAATAATCAGGCAATCCCAGAAAGTTCTTCTCCTCTCCTCTGTCAATTGATAATGTTCCAATTAGACAAGTTACTTTTTCAAAATCTCTTGGTACATATATTGATGAAAATATGTCTTGGAAAATTCATATTAGAAAATTGTGCAAAAAAGTTGCCTCAGGTATAGGTGCTCTAAAACGTATAAAGCCTTTTGTTCCTCATTCCACATTCCTCATTTCACAGTGCCTTATTCACTACAGAACTGTTTAGTACTGCAAGCGTTAAGCTTGCCACACTCATCAACGACTGCATATAAGAGATGCAGATTTAATTAGGTCATGTTGCATGTAATTGGTTAAACTGGGTTAGTAAAAACTTCTTTCGATGCCGGCGTGTGGAAACAAGTTCATTACGCTAGTTCAAAGAGCTTAATTCAGGATGACATATGATTATAGATTTCTTGGAGGGCATAAATTACAGCGTTTAGTTTTATTGCAATGCGTTTGTAATTTGTTAATGTGATTTCTATTAGTTTAGATTTATCATAAAGTTTCGAACCTATAGAATTTCGTCATGTAAAGAAAAAATATCGCCTTTAAGGGGCCGGAATGTTGGTTTCAAAACGGAAGGTCATTCAAGTTGTTATTTTGTAAAAGACCTTCTGGCAAAAACAAGTTGTCATTTTCCGTTTCAGTGCAAAGATTTACATCAAATGCGTGAATTTGGTTAGCAAATGCGCAATGCGGTTACCTTGCCTAGCCACGCTATGTCCGTCAAAGTAAAACACTTCGCGGTTTCTATGTTTTGAAAATCTTATACAGTCTTTTGAGTGCTGTCTAAACAAAAGTAAAAGTAAAACAAAAGTTGAATTTTGAATGATTAAACTGTCTTCATGTTTTCCTAAGTATCGTTTAAAAATTAACATCCACTAAACAAAAACAACAAAGTTTATAATTATCATAACCTCGATCACTTTTTCTATTGAATTTGAAATTACATAAACAAAGGCAAAATGATGTCAACATTTTGTTTAGTTCACCTTATGCATGGGTTACTAAACAATAGATAATGATAGGCATTCACATTTAGTCAATTTTTCTAATATTTATTGTTTTATACACTGTATAATATTAATTAAAGCATTTCATTTAAGGTTCCCATATCAACCCTTATTGAGGCACATTTTCAAAAAAGTCACTTGAAAATCTTATAGAAATTTTAACGAACAATATATAACAAGACGCCTACTAGGCGTTATGATCGCGTCGTTCGCAGCGACGTAGCCAGCCCAGCTATGCAAATTTTGTGTCGTAAATGTTCTTAATAATAAAAATGAACAATATACCGAACTATAGTATAGGTCGCATGTTGAAAGCAGGAGAAACATCAACAGCCCATTTCAAAACCGCTCTACCTGTGCGCAGGTTCCCGATTAGGGTGATACGGCCTGCAGCTAGCGACGCTGGGGGTCGACAAAGGTTTTTTGCCTGTTAATGGGCTAACTCATTAGGCATCGGAATGTTTATGAATCTATCCACTCATCTTACCTTCCAAAAACTTCTCTTGGTATGCCAGTCAACAATAACAAACAAATAAAGATTATCCAATCTGTGTTTCGCAGAATGGCAGCCGCCCCTTAAATCTCTTGCTCCGGAAAAACGAACTCGAGTCAAAGAGCTAAGTATAAGGAACAATAATTTTTTCCACGGCCAATTGTTTATTTTAATGTGTCTGTCCACGGGCTATAGCTGTAAACTATACTACAAACCGACTCCCGGAATCCTGCATTAACGCTTTTTTCAAGAACGTACAAATTTCTCGAAATATTTTATACAGTATCAGACACTATCAGCTAACCAATTCGCCGTAAAAAATTAAGTCGTAGGTTTGTTAACACGGCAATGTTGAAGTCGTAGGTTGTGTTAACACGGCAATGCGGCAATATTGAAAGCCAGTCGATTTTTGGTTGCCGAACGACCCTGTACGTATATAACTACGTATCGACCATGTTTCAACCTTGAAACAACGTTGACAAGCGACATTGATTCGACGTCGTGGAAATGACCTTGACGTGGAAACAACGTCGATTTCCCGCTGATGATCGACGTCGCGACAAAAGTTCAACCAAAATTCCACGTCGAAACGAAGTCGTGTGCTCACTTGGTACCCATATAGGCATGCAGGAAACGGCGGATATCGCCTGTCAAAAAAGGCCAATTGTCTACACAAGTGTAGTGTCTGTTATTTGGCTTACACAATCGGCAATGTACGTCGCCACATCTTCCTTCTTAATGTTGAGACAACATCTATATAATTTGTCGATGGTTGACGTGATTTTGGTCTCCACTGTAGTTTTGCCAACTCCGAAGTTCGCGATTTCCTCGTAAGCGAAATCGCCAAAATTTGCCGCTAGATCTTTCCAGTTTGGCCTACCTTCAGGAGTGAGCAGCTCCACGAGTTTCATAAGAAAAGAAGAGGTTTGATTTTGCAGGAGCTGACCTGTAAACAGTACTTTATAACAGTATTCAATGTTTTGTTCGGGGTGCATTGAATTTCAATCAAAAAATTGAATCACACGGGCAGAGGCGTAGCCAGGATTTTGGGGAAGGGGGGCCAGCAAGAACATTGGCGGGGCCAGGCCGCCAGTGTCAATCGAGACAAGGTTTGTGCAAAACATTCTGTGCAGGATACTATGGCAATAATGATGAAAATGACATGCAGCCGGAAGTTTTAAAATATTGACGCCCTTACAACGATTCGCTTACGCCCCTACCCAAGAAAGATGTTTAGCTTAAACGGTGAACTGATAAGAGACTTGAATGTTCAATTTCCAAAAGAACTGCATGCATAATAATTGCAAATGAATTGCATATGATGTGTGTTCAGCTTAGATGGGAACGTATTTGATCTCTGGCTTCGAAAAACCGGCCCCAGACTAACAATCTTATCTATGAAACTTATTCATAAACTATCCCTGTGTGCAGCGATTACTTTACCTGTATGTAATTGCTTGTATCGTCGTTGCCCTGGCGGGAGCGCCCAGTAATCCTTCTCCCTGACATTGCAGATAATTTTTTTTCGTACACCAGTAGACGATAAAACCCACCGGAAGAAAAAAGAATATCAGTACCACCGCCGTGACAATGAGCAGTGTTAGGTTTGTGGATGAGCAACTGCTTTCATTTTTTTCTCCTGGTAAAATATTTGCAAACAATGTGTTGAAGACTTCAATTTGATTACGAAATCGCGATACATAATTGCATTTCCAATTCCATTTATCAGATATGACTCACTATCATTCCAACAAGTATCATACATGATTTATGAATGCTGAAAACTTACCTCTGTAATAAATAAGTCAAAGAGCGGGATATTCTTTTATGAGCCCTATATCAGAATAAATTGAATTATTATGTTTAAGAAGTCAATCCTGATTATTAAATAATATCATAGGAATTCATAGGAATGATAGACTGTATTTTTGGTAGCATTGCCTACAACCAGATGCAGTTACTTATTACCAACTACTCAACTATACTGACACTTTAGTTCGACAGGATCATTTTCAAAATACAACTGACCACACAAAATACAAAATCTGGGATTAAAAAGTAGACAGAAACCAAGTTTGCTAAACACAGATCATCATAAGAACTCCACGTACAACAACAAGGGTATCACTTACTGTTCCACCACAATTGAGTCAGCAAGGAAGCAATATTTATATCATCGATGAAATCTTTTGTTTTTCCTCCATGATACATTGTATGCACTTTCATTGTCTTATATAGTAAGGTTAGTGTAAATTGATACAATTATCAATCAGTCTATATTATCTATGATTAATTATTCTTCTCTATTTTAAGTTTTCAAAAGAGTATGTTGCGCGTAGACCATTAGGTATTAATTTCAAAGACTTACATGTACGTAAAAACGAGATATGATTGTAGTGGCGGGTAATTTTCTTCGCAATACGATATGATGAAGGTGTTGTGGTTGCCATGCCTGGTTTTAATTACCTTGAAGTCTTGTTTTCAAAGGAGAACCTGAAGGGAATATATTTTACAGTTTTACTTTTCCATCCATTTTTCCCCGAGCCGGCGCGAAGCGCCGTGCGAGGGTACTAATTTCGCCCGGAGATTAGGATTACACCCGGAACCCGTGAGAACATAGCGAAATGAAAGTGGACGGTCAACGGTGGACGTTCGACCTTTTTGCCAGTTATGCGCGTGCGCTGAAATTAAACGAGAGAAGACTTGGTAATCAATAACTTTCTGATTGGCTAAGACAAGAAGGCTAAAATTAAACGACTGAAGACTGGTTTTTAGTGAGTGGGAAGATTTTACACTTCATAATTTCTCACCCGGCCACATTTATTAAAAAGTCATTCTTTTCAGTTTAAACACAACTAAATATGCTAAAATGTATTTCACTATAAATCTGAATGTGTTATGTGATCGACGACATTATCATTTCATTATAAACTCCGTTTTTATAATGACAAAAAGAAAATCAAATAAATATATTCGCGTGCAAAAACCAGTCGAGACGTAACAAAACTTCGGAAGTTGTACGAGACGTCTGATGTTATATTTCAATGAAAAGTAATAATTAAAATAATTTACCATAATACTGATTATAGATGAATAACTTAACTTCAAAAAATGCTAAGAATCTTGTCGTATTTTTGCCCTTTTTTCCCAAAAATATGAGGGTAAACTAAACTTTATAAACCAAAATATACGGCCGTAACAAGTTGCTATGGCTACAGTGCTTCCACTTCCAAAAAAACATTTCCATACTTCTTTTCTCACATACCACGACATAACTATCATGTTAAATAATCATCCCTATTCTTAATTTCGTTTAACTGAGGCGAGGGGTTGCTGCATGCATGTATTTCTAGTAAGCCAGTAAAATGGCAATGATTAGAAGCTCGAATGAAAAGTAAGTTGATATCTTGAGGCAAAATACGTTTAACGCATGCAGTCTGTAATATTTCAATGTCCTCAGCAATTCGATATTTCCACCGTAATAAGGCGTAATTAGAGCTTGATATTAGATTTTTACCCTAAATATTTAAGAAAGGACTTTTTCATTGATAAGTATACGTAAGACGGGATTTCTACGTGACAAGCAATGATTGTCAGTGAGCTTTTTGAATATACAGATACAAACGTAAAAGATTTTAATAGTATAAAAAGAAGTATACAATATGATTTGTTAAGAAACAATTTATTAATGACGACACAATACATGAAAAACAAGTCACAAACTCAGCAAATTTGCCATCCTGGATTTCAAATTTACAGAGAAATTGCAAGGCTGGCTAACTTTTGGTATCAATGGTCTCATGAAATCACCACCTTGTCTCTCTTTTTTAATTCTTGAACTTCGTTTATTGGGGATGATACCTCCTCCTCTCTTGTCTTTTTTTTTCTTGAATTCTCTTGCTCCTTCTTACGGGGTATTTTACCATTTTTAATCCCAGTTGTCTTTCTTCTGTAAAATAATTTCATCTTTGACAATTTTTTTCCGAACTTCTATGACCGAACCTTCCTTTATTGCTTTTTCTACCTCTCTCGAAAATTTCTCAGGAAACGGCAACGATGAGCTCCTTTCCGGGGTATTTGGTGTTTATTCCTAGCTCTCCAATATATCGACTACCACCACTAACATTTATTATAAAGATATAGTAAGAAAAATTTCACATTATTAATAATACCGGACAGAACAAAAGGCATGCCCAACAGAACAATTTTTCTAAAATTAAGCTGCCACAAAGCCAATCCTTTTTGGAGTACCACTCCTTCATGAATGACATCCCCTTATTTTTAATATTTAAATTTGGTCGTTCCTTGACAATAACATTTTGTTCGACAGTTGGTCGAACAGAAAAAGATGTTTAACAACAAAGCATTTACAATATCGGATACACATGATAGAACAGAAAGTACTTATAGGCCGAATCATGTCACCCGGATTTTTCCTTTCTTTTCTTTTCATTTCCGATTCCAGAAAGGTTGGAATTTGATTTAAGTAAGACAAGCTTTATCATACGTTATCCCATATATTTCGACCGGAGTTTGTGACGAATAATAAAAAAACTTTCAAAAAACGTTTCAAAAATGTTTAATATTTATTTGTTTTACACCTTTTCATTTGACGAACGTGATGTTAGCCTATGGAGCAAGACATTTCACAAAAAATAGCTTTTTTAGTAATACTCCGGAAATAAATTTTAATGGTTTATTAATTTTAATATTTTGCCAATACATTGATTGAACTTATCCATAAAAAATTTTCGTTTTTTATAAAAAATCTAACCGTTCCTTGGAACGACACTTTCCATAATAGTATACTTGTGCAAATGTGGATTCTTTTATGCGGGATTCGTAAATTTAAATACAAAGGCTTTGACTGGGTTCTTTTCCATTTCAAAATAGGAAATTAACACTTTACTTACGTGCGTATTTGAAAGATACTTATTTCAACAGTCTTTGAAAACATTTTGAATTGAAATTATTGAAGTGATCGTGTCTTCAGAGAAACAATCAAGAATCCTAAAATATTTACTGCATTAGAACTAAAAATTCTTGTTGTGTTCAGTTCGATCTTTGCCTGAATGTCTATTATCAATTTAAACTTTATGTTGCTTACCTTTCACGATGTATGTTGTGTACTTTTTTTCTCCTCCTACATGTACGTGATGTGCGTCCTTGTGTATTTTCGAAATTTATGTTTTGATAACTAATATTTCTATTGTATTGTGTGTCCGTTCTTCTGTTCGCGTTTTCAATTAGGTGACTTGTTCGTGTATACGTGCTTATTATATTAAAAACTCCTTAACTCTTCCTCTTTTGTGCTGCAAAAAGTGTGTTCTCGGCGAAAAAACTTATTTAGTTTTGTCCGTGAAGAGGCAAAATGATTTCAACCTGAATTCCACTGGAGAACATACTCGATTCTTCCTGGTCCAGCTACAACGCCTCATAATGGCACTGGGGTGTATAACAGAAAAATCTCTTGTAAATATTTTCTGGAAAGAAAAAGTATACGGATTGGAAAGACGTATACGGATTGAAAAGAGTTCATTAGTGACACCAAAAAGATTTTGCGAACATCGTGTATCAAGAACACAATTTTATATTTGGAACTCTAAGTTGTATAACCTCCAATACAACCACTGGACTAACTGGACATTCTTTCTGAGGATAGAGTTCAAGTGGTTTTCTGTCTCTTGAACTTCAGTAAAAGAAGTATTTCCACCTTTATCTTAGGAATCTCCCCTAATCGATCACCATTGTAAACCGAATATCGCTTCCCCAGTTTACTCCTTGTGGTAAATGTTACCGATGGTTACTCTGGGATTTTAGAGGAACGTTTCACCTACGCATTCAACCCCTCATCTATAGTTCATAAGAACTCAGAATATCTCAACCCATGTAAGAAATACCTCCACCACCTTGCCAAACCTACACCCGTGCTTAAACTAGCGCTTCTATAATCAACATGAACCACCATCAACAACTATACCAACTCAGTCTATCATTGATCGACCGCGATGAAAGATACTATGTATAACTGAACATAAGTTCAGATTTTGCATATATTATTCAGTATACAGTCACAATTCCAACAACAACAACACACAGGAATGGGTCATCTTATAAAACAATATACTGTACCTCGAGTCAGCTAAAACAACTATTTTACAGAAAAAGTTGCTGTCAAGAAAACGCGAAGGTGGAAAATATAGATTTCGAATGTGTTAATGCAATACCCAACTTGTTTGAAATGAATAATACTCCTTATGGACGTCAATTATAAACAAAGAACTACGGAGATCCTTACTGGTGATGATCCCCACAGTACATGGATGACATTTTTGAAAAATATGGAACAAATTACTATGCAGGGCTAGACGCTCGTCAATTTTAAAGAAGCCAAGCTGGGGCCGGATATGTATCCACACTTTGCACACATCAACTTGTACTAGGAATTGAGCAATGTTCAGGTTATCTCAGAAAGTGCTTCCTCTGTTTCATGGTGTTTGGCCTCAAGTCACACTGAAGAACGTGTCCCTAGCTCTAATTATAGCTTGGGAAGTTCTTGTAATTTTGTTAACCTTATGCTTCACTTTGAGCAATTATAAGGTGGTGTGGCGTCCCACATTTAGTGGGTGATTCATGTCAAATATGAGGCTCCTGGCTCATTATTATTTGTTTTTCTTTACATCTTTTGTTTGCTTCCAAATTCTCTTCAGTTCCTTCATTCATTAATTTCTTTAAGAGCGAAATTCAAATCCTGATATGATAAAATATGAATCATCTGAATCTCGTTCACTTCACCTTGCCGGAAAGAATCCACATTTGTAAAGTTTGATACAACAGGAACGGGTGCATTGATTAATTAAATGACAATATAATTTTGTCTCCCGTTTGCGTATTTCACGACAAAATCATTAAAATAACAATGAAATTAAAAAGCGGAAACATAGTTACAAACAGATATTTTTGTTGAATGTTTTGCTATACATACTACGTACACGATATCTAAATTGACTTGAAGATCACGAGGTATTTCTAGGTCTTTATGCCCGGTGTCACAGCGGATTTGGACCCCCGCGGATATGGACCCCCGGTCCATATCCGCTAGCGGATTTGGACCCCCCCGGTCCATATCCGCTAGCGGATACGTACCCCCCTCCGCGCGGATTCGGACCCCCCAATATTTAGATAAAATTATAAGCCGCTCGTTTCAAACATCTCGCTTTTCATGGGCCTGGCTATTGTTTTTGCCACCATAAAACAAGGCGCCGTCTTTCAAAACAAAAACTTTTCGGCTTTCTTTCTAAGATTTTTTTTATCTTTTCCAGCACTACTAGGATAGCTACCATCACAAAGATAATTAAAAATTTCATAGTAACAATTCTTTTCAGTCATCGCAAAGTGTGCCACTTATAAGACCAACCGCAAAATATTTAGTATTTACTGTCCTTCTATCACCAAGATACAACGCACGTGCTGGTTCATATGGTTGTAAATTTATTATCGAAATTAAGATACCTAATAGCATCAATTAACTG